GATTCTCTTTAGTATTCAACATAAAACATACACATCCAAAATGATGGAAGTAAGAAATGTTGGGCTTTCTGTTCCTCCACAATTCATAGGGAGTCTTCTCCAGAAGAGGTCTTACAGACACTCTGTTCTAAATATAACAAGCTGTGTTTATTGCTTCTGCCCAAAAATGTTTTGCCAGATTAGTCTCATTGATCATGGTTCTGGCCATTTATTGCAGTGTTCTATTTTTCCTCTCTACAACTCCATTCTGTTGTGGAGTTCTAGGGCAGGAGAAATCATGTGCAATGCCATTTTCATTAAAATATTTTTCAAAATATTTGTTTTCAAACTCACCTCCATGATCACTTGTGACTTTAACAATTTTAAAATCTTTTTCATTCTGGACTTGTTTGCAGAAGTCAAAGAACACAGAATGTGACTCATCCTTGTGTTTTAGGAATTTCACCCACGTCCATCTGTTGTAGTCATCAACAATGAATAATCCATACTTCTTGCCTCTGATGGATGCAATTTTTACTGGTCCAAACAGATCAATATGAAGTAACTCTAATGGTCTTGAGGTTGAGACAACATTTTTAGTTTTAAAAGAAGATTTTGAAAATTTTCCTTTTTGACATGCTTCACAAAGAGCATCTGAGTTGAACTTCAACTGAGGAAGTTCTCTGACTAGATTGAGTTTATTAATCTGAGATATATGTCTCATACTAATATGCCCCAATCTTCTGTGCCAGACCCATTGCTCATCATTAACAAACAGAAGGCATTTTACATTATGAACCTTAAGTTCTGAAAGATTGATTTTATAAATGTTGTTCTTCCTCTTTCCATTAAATAGGATTGAGCCATCCTTTTGACTAACAGCCTTGCAACATTTTTGATTAAAGATTATGTCATAACCATTGTCACTTAATTGACTTATGGACAATAAGTTATGTGTTAATCCTTCAACAAGTAAGACATTAGAAATGGAAGGAAGATTACCATTGTCAATAGTTCCAGAGTCAACTATCTTGCCTCTCTGGTTCCCTCCAAAATTGACGTCTCCTCCAGATCTAAGTTCCAGGCTTTGGAACATAGACCTTTCTCCCATCATGTGACGCGAGCAGCCAGAGTCCAGGTACCAAGATTGGTGTTTTGACTGTGCTGCTAAAGATGTCTGCAACAGATATTATTTTGTCTTTAGGTACCCAGATCTTTTTGGGTCCTTTAGGGTTAGTTGCCTTAAAGTTTTGTCTAAACTTCTGTCTTCTGGCAGCAGGTTTGTTCTGACTAACTTTAGGTTTAGACACAGGAATGTTCTGACCAGAACGAGTGTGTTTAATATCATTAAGATGACCAAACTTAAAAGTAGAATACAGAGGAGTATGCTTAATGATAAGTTTATCAACAGATGTTGGATTTAAATTTTTCTCAGAAGAAGATTCATATCCAATACCCTTCCTGTTATTTCTGCTTACACCATAGATCATTGAAGCCATCTTGCTTCTCTCTAGGCTTCTTGCCAGAAATCTCTGAAAACTATAGTCATATTCTTCTAAAATATTTTTAGATTTTGACTTAGTTTCAACTTTAGAATCTTGTTGAGCTTTTTCTAATTCACTTTTAATTTTCAAATTGTTTGCCTTAAGCTCAATAATTTCTGACTTCAGAAGATCATTCTTAGATACAAGACTGTTTTCACGCTTCTTGTATTTGAGCTTAATCTTACTATAGTTTTCCAACATTTCAGATAAAATCTCACTAATTTCTGCCCTAGAAAGTTTAGAAAATACCTCCTCAGAGTTTGATTCTGATTCTGATTCTGATCCAGATGTTTCTGCATGGTCTTCTACGTCAGCCATGAGTGCCATGTTTGCACATTCTTCATCTGAGTCTGATGAATATTCAGATGCATCTGAATCATCCCAGGTTTCCATCAAAACTTTCTTTTTATGCTTAGGCTTCCTTCTTGGCTTCTCTTTATGAAGCTTTGGGCATTCATTATTGTAGTTCCCAGGTTCCTTGCATTCATAGCAGATAACCTATTTCTTTCCAGATCTTCTGTGTCCAGAAGACTCTTTACGTTGATCTGGTTTCTTGAAGTTCTTGAAGTTCCTCTGTTTATGCTTCCAGAGTTTGTTGATCCTTCTGGACAGCAGGGATAATTCATCTTCTTCTTCAGAAGAAAATTCTTTAGAACTTTCTTCTATAACCTGCAACACTTTAACAAATTTGTTAGACTTTAAGAGAACTGACTTACCTTTCTTTTGAGGCTCGTCTTCTTCAAGTTCAATCTCATGACTCCTCAGAGAGCTGATTAGTTCCTCCAGCACGATCTTGTTCGGATCCTTTGCTAGCTTCAGAGCAGTGACCATTGGTCTCCATCTGATTGGCAAACTTCTGATGATCTTCTTAACATGATCAGCAGTGGAGTAGCCCTTGTCCAGAACTTTCAAGCCAGCTGTGAGAATCTGGAATCTAGAGAATATAACTTCTACAGATTCAGATTCCTCCATTATGAAGGCTTCATATTTTTGGATCAGCGCCAGAGCCTTGGTCTCCTTGACTTGAGAATTCCCTTCATGAGTCATCTTCAAAGATTCAAACATACCAAATGTTGTTCCTCTGTTAGTAATCTTCTCATACTCAGTATGAGATATAGCATTTAGTAGTATGGTTCTTGCTTTATGATGATTCCTGAATTCTTTCTTCTGAGCTTCAGTCATAGATTTTCTATCTATATTTTTGCCATCCCCATCAGTGGGGTGAATATAGCCATCAATGACTAAATCCCAAAGGTCAGCATCATACCCTAGAAAGAAGCTTTCAATTCTATCTTTCCAGTAGTCAAACTTTTCCCCATCAAACATAGGGGGTTTAGTGCTGATTCTATCTCTGTCTTCATATTTTTTGTTGTTGGATGTTGAAGCTTCATCCATAATGTATCAACCAAAATATATCAAGAGTTTTCTCAACTGGATCTTTTTTGTTCATGGTGAAGTGAGAGCACTAACAGAACCGGAGCTCTGATGCCAACTGAAAGTGAGAAAAACACTTAGAAGGGGGGGGGGGGGGGTTGAATAAGGGTTTAGAAAAGATTATGGAAATAAAAACAACACAATATTTTTATCCTGGTTCGTTGAACTCAACTAATCCAGTCCACCCTATCAAGAGTGATTTGCCTTTCTCCACAAGGACTTAATCCACTATATTCAAACAGATTACAGTGTCAACCACTAAGAACAATTGTCTTAGTCTTCTCAAGAAATCCTGACCACAACTTGGTCTTCTTAAGGAACCTTTTACAAATTAATGTAAACTAAACAAGTGCTAAAGATGCTTCTAAAAAGCTATATCACAAACTGTGATTTTTACACTTAGATTAAGAACAAAAGATAAAAGTTTTCAGCTTTGAATGATTGTATGAGAGTAGTGAAATAATTTGTTGTAGATTCGTTGGTAGTTTGTTAGTTTTGAAGAGATGTTGAAGACGTCCTTTTATAGTGCTGAAAGTCCAATGCTTGAAGACTATGCAAGTAGGGTAGCTGTAGCCTTTTGTCTTCACATGACTTTTCCTTTCTCAGAAGTAGAATGTTCAGAGAAATGCCTTTTGCCTGAATCCTTGTGTCTATCACAAATAAGGAATAGTTCCGTTGGAGAGGAAGTTGAGAATAGTACCAAGTCTATTCACGTGCTGACATCTTTTCAAACGTAAACAACATCAGATCCACTAATGTGCTTCTTGTTCTTTAGATCAAATTCAATGTTATCAAAGTTGCAGCAACAGTGCTTTAGCGTGAGTGATCTGATCAGAGCATAACTGTTCATCAGAGCCTCTGTACTTGCAGCGTAAAGTACATTTAGAGTCTTCTGAAACAATGCTTTAAACTCTTCATACAAAATCTTCAGCTACGCTTCAGATGCTTCTGCAGCTTCTGCTTCAGAGTCTTCTGCAGCTTCTACTTCAGAGTCTCTTCTGGCAGCACTCAGTCTTCTGATGACTTGCTTCTGATGCTTCAGAGCTTTGCGTAACTTGCTGTTCAGATGCATTTTGCTTCCATAATGATATTTATTTTAATATCTGAATTACAAAACAGTTGAACAAAATTAGAGTATATATTTTCTTAATGCAAAATTTCATTAGAGTTATCATCAAAACATAGAGATATTATTAAACACCAATCTGTGTTCTAACAAACACATCTTCCACCGACTATTCTGGGCATTCCAACCATGCATCAGAGGTTTTGCCTATTGCAAACCTATACTTCAAATTGATGGAACCTGGTTGTACAGTAAGTACAAGGGTACACTGCTTATCGCAGTGGCACAAGATGGCAACAACAATATATTTCCTGTTGCTTTTGCCCTTGTCGAAGGTGAAACAGCTGAAGGTTGGGGGGTTTTTCTGAGAAACTTAAGGAGGCATGTTGCGCCACAACCAGGTCTATGTTTAATTTCAGACCAACATGCATCAATTGAAAGTGCATACAAAAATGCGGAAAATGGTTCGCATGATCCCCATTAGTGCATGTTTATTGTATCCGACACATTGCACAAAATTTTATGAGAAATCAAGGACAGGAACCTGCAGAAAAAAATAATTAACATGGGTAACTATATTTCATAATATTCATTAAATTTTGTCAATAACATATATTATTTTTTTGTCCTTTGTTGGTTGATATTTTAATTATTCAGGGTAGGCTTTAAACCAACCAATATTTCATTACTATCGATCAGAGATTGACATGGCAAATGCAGATGCTTTGAGGTGGATTGACAGTATTTCAGCCGAAAAATGGACAAGGGCATTTGACGGGGATCGACGTTGGGGTCACATGACTACCAACCTTGTTGAGTCAATGAATATTGTCTTTAAAGGCACACGTAATTTGCCCATTGCAGCATTGGTAAGGGCAACATATTATAGACTGGGATCTTTATTTGCTGAAAGGGGTGCAAAGTGGAGTGTTGTGTTGAACTCTGGCCAAACATTTACAGACAACTGCCTCAAGGTGATGAAAGAAGAAACAACAAAATCCAGCACACATCAAGTCAGAATTTTTGATTATGCTAACAATGTTTTCAGTGTGAAGGAGACAGTGGACCATGGTGAGGGGAAGCCTATGGGATATTATAAGGTCGACCTCTTGAACGGGTGGTGTGACTGCGGAAAGTTTCAAGCATATCGTGTCCCTTGCTCACATGTTATCGCTGGATGTTCGAATGTGCGCCACGACGCTTATGCTCTTTTGTCCGACGTTTATAGGATTACAAACCTGTTTGGGGTTTACAGCACAAGCTTTCCAGTGCTGTCGTATGATGAATATTGGCCCGTTTATGAAGGAGATCAAATTTGCCATAACCCAAGAATGCGGAGGAACAAGAAAGGCCGCCCAGTGAGCACACGTATTACAACAGAAATGGATAACTTTGAAAAGCTTGAGAGAAAATGTTCCATGTGTCGTCAAACGGGCCACAATCGAACTCGGTGTTCCAATGTGGAAACAAGTAATCGTTAGTATTTTTATTAATCATCATGTATTAAATAATATTAGTTAATAATATCAATTAATATAATTATGTATTAAAAAATATAAATTAATATTATACATTAATTAATTATATTAATATTAACATTATTGATAATATTAATATTATTAATATTAATATTAATATTAATAATATTAATATTTATATATATTAATATTAATAATATTAACATTATTGATAATATATATTAATAATATATATTAATAATATTAATATTAATAATATTAAAAAACAATTAAAACGTAAAAGTAAAAAAAAATTTGACTTGCACTCTGCCGTCCATTGGAAGGGCGACACTCTCAAAATTTCAACACTACTGTCCAATGAAAGAGCGGCATCCTTGAACCAATAATTTCAATTTTTTTGAAAGTGTGGCGTTATGAGATATTTACTGAAAACTATGACATTTTGGAAATTCCTACCCAAAAAGATGGTAGGACAGTGCAAAATTCTAAAATCTATCTTTAATCAACATAATTCAACCCAAATTTTCATATGGTTCTATGCCAACAAGTAATTATCATTTGATTTAACAGATCAACTGTTGAAATTGCAATCAATCATTGTCAAATGGTTCCATGCCAACAAGTAATTAGCATTTAATTTAGCACTTTGTATGCACTTCATTTGATCAACCATTGAAATTGCAATTAATCATTAGTCTGTTTGTTGCAAACAAGTTATTGAAATACTCTTGGAAACACAAACCTGCAGTCCTTTCTCTCAAAGCAGCCTTAATGATTTTTATTCCTTCCCAATAAGCATTGTTTCCACTCCATTTTTTATAATACCCCTATTGTCATCATTTCATTTCTCCATCTCAATCCTGGTTTGTTTAATGGGCAAATCACAATGCTTACAAGGCATATGCATGAATATGTTGAGGATTGTGAGTTTGTGAGAATATTTGAAACAAATTTTTAATCGGATTCTGAGTGATTACAGAACATATTTCAATGGAAGATATTTTAAGAATGGGCACAACATCTCAAGTTTTAAGAAATGTTCATATCGATGAGTGTGAAATTAAAATGTGATTTTACGTCATATTCATTGTGCCTTTTGTATATTGTTTTAGAATTGGAAATTAAGTGTGATTTTATTTTTTAGATAATTGTTATGAGATTTTAACTTTATTTGTTTTGTAGAAACTGCTCTGACATTGGAAAATTAACATTTGCTTATGATGATTTCACAGTAACCAACTTTATTTATTTTATTTCTATTTTGTGATAAGTAGTTGTAGATAATGATTCTATGATAAAGGTGACTTGAACGGCTTGGAACTTCTTCAATTATATCCCTTGAGTAAAGGGTCTCTTTCCTCATGTTTTCAAATGCTCACATTACTTGTAATTGAAAAATTGAGTGATCCGCATGTATCTCATACCATATTAAATTCAATTTATTAATTGAAAAAATTCCATAATGAAAGAAATACATTAAAAGAAAAAAAATGAAGAATAACAGTATATTTTTTTTACTTTATTAAGATATATGTTCTGAACTGGGTCGACGCTTAGTCCACCACCAAACAGGCTTAAGTTCAGTGAGGTTGGGCCCAAGAATATCACGATGACGGGCGGGATCCCCGTCGCGCACAACATCTTCCCGTCGGACATAGACCAACAATCGTCGGGCAGGACCCTCGCATCCGACCAGCCAGCCCCCTGCGTCCCCATCGTCGGGCAGGACCCACGTGCCCGACCAACCACCTCTGCCTGCCCGAGGACTCCTCGGTCCTTCCCTACGTTCTTCATGTGTTCCTCATGCAGGGACACGTCATAAAGTAACCACCCACGTCCTGGAGATTCGGTCTTCCTCCTCCCGGATAGTGCAGAACAATTATCCTAGGGAGAAGACCATGTACTGGTCTTCATGATGCCACGTCATCCCTAGAAGTTACTAGCATTGGGCCTGGCGGCCCAACCCAGTGCTAGATAATTGTTGGCCCTACGCTGGGGGCTCTCTATAAATACCATTTTCACTAGAGGGTCAGGTAACTTAACTTTCTTACTCTCTCTCCGTGCTTGCTTCCACTCTGCCCGCCACTTACTTTGACATCGGAGTGTGTTTCAGGTATACCCCCTCCTCATCCATACCTTTGGTGAGCAGTTAGCAGATCAACGACGCGTGGCAGTCCATAGCTCCCCTTCTGGTTAGGTACGATCAATACCATTTAATTTTGATAGCGCATCATTTAATAGTTTATATTTTGCTATTATATTCGGTAGTAGTAATTGAGTATATTTTTTGAAAAAATATTTCAGGTAGAATGTAGTTTTTATGACAAAATATCTTTTGATATTTGTGCGTTTGCACGAGTATTAGTGTGATACGCGCATTTGTTTTTAAAATATAATTAAAAAAATGAAAATGACAAAATTATTTAACTAAAAGAAATTATAATTTTAAAAAAATATATACACGCAGAAGATGAAATGTGTTCTGGCCTCGGCCCCGGCCTGACCGGGAAGGCCCAGCCCACGTACACTTGGGGGAAGGCCCAAAGGAGCCTACCTCATCTGTGTCGAGCACAAGACTCCCCGTCAACCAGACACTGTTACGTCGGGCAGAACCTTCCTCATTTGTGTCGAGCACAAGACTCCCCGTCGACCAGACACTGCCCCCGTCGGGCAGAACCTTCCCCCTGTCGACCAGACACTGCCCCCGTCGAGCAGAACCTTCCCTCCGGCGGCCAGACACTGCCCCGTCGGGCAGAACCTTTCCTCCGTCGGCCAGACACTACCCCCGTCGGGTACAACGTTCCCTCTGTCGGGCAAAACAACGTGCCCTCCACAAGTTCTCCATGTGCCCCCCTCCGCAGGGACACGTCATCCACCAACTGTCCACCTCCGAAAGAGGAGGTCAACCCACTTTCCAGAGTTCATGGAGCAGTTGAACTAGGATGAAGACCACATTCTGGTCTTCACTACGCCATGTAAGCCCTAGCAGTCACTTGGGTTGGGCCTGGCCATCCAGCCCAACTCAAATGACCGTTGGCCCTGCGCTGGGGTCTCTCTATAAATACCCTCTTCTCCAAGAGGGTCAGGTATTCTCTTCTTACCCTTTTCTGTATTTGCTGTCACTCTGTCCAAACACTTACTTTGGCATCGGAGTGCCTTGCAGGTACACCCCCATCTCCTTTCCCCAACACCAGTGAGCAGACAGTAAGTCAAAGACGCGTGGCAAGTCCTTGGTCCCCTTCTGATCCAGTCAGATCAGTGGCGCCAACTGTGGGGACTTAGCTTCCCCGTTCCTCCGAGCAGAGAACCAAAGCTTCATCTCTCAAAACATTAGGATCAGGACTAGCCCACGCCATGACGACGCTGTTCACAACTCCGACCATGTCCCCGTCACCAACAGCGACGGTCAGGTGGGGACATCTCAACTTCGCGAAGAGGGGCAGGACCCTCGCGACCAACCAGCCAGCCCTTGCCTCTCCCTCGTCGGGCAGAAGCTCTGTCGAGCAGGACCTTGGCTGCCAACCAGCCAGCCCTTGCCCCTCCTTCGTCGATCAGAAGACCCGTCGGGCAGGACCTTGGCTGCCAACCAGCCAGCCCTTGACCCTCCTTCGTCGGGAACAAGACCCGTCGGGTAGGACCATGGCTACCAACCAGCCAACCTTTGTCCTCTCCTTCGTTGAGCAGAGCCCTGTCTTCACGGGGCAAGACGAAGCATGGGGCCTACTACCTCGAAAACCTACATGGTGATCAACTAGCTCGACCATGGAACACCGAGAAGCTGAAAAGGTACTACAGTTAAACAGTGCCCGCGACGCCCAGGCGTTGCAACCACAAGAGGGCGACATGGTACCTCCTCACTTCCTCGTGTCTTCTAGAGACCAACAAAACAGCAAGCCCTGCCTTTGTGTGTGCGGGTAGAAGGCTCTGTTCGACGGAGAATCCCTCGATCGAGACTCCCTGTCACTGTACCAGAATCGGCAGGACATCCAGCTCACGATGGGACGTTCATGCCGCGGGGATAAACTACCCCGGAAACGGCCAGGTAACGAAATCGGTCAACCGGCCAGTTCTCCACACTATCGGAAACAATTATCGTCGAACTACCACCCTGGACAGGCCCAAAGGCATAACGAACATGCATTTAAAACATACAAACATATATATCGAGCATACAAAAGTGCAGAAATAAAACGAGCATAACACCATGCAGAAACAAGACAAAGTGCACACTTAAACAAAATTCCATAATATGGGCACATGCCCAAAAGTCAAAATGTTACAATAAACGGGCACAACCCCCAGCTATCGAGCAGGACCTTGGCTGCCAACCAGCCAACCCCTGCCCTCTCCTTTGTCGGGCAGGACCTAGGCCGCCAAACAACCAACCTTTATCCTCTCCTTCATCGAGAAGGACCTTGGCTGCCAATCATCCATCCTTTGTCCACTCCTTCGTCGAGCATAAGCTCTGTCGAGTAGGACCTTGGATGCCAACCAGCCAACCTTTATCCTCTCCTTCGTCGAGCAGAAGCTCTGTTGAGCAGGACCTTGGCTGCCAACCAGCCAACCTTTCTCCTTTCCTTCGTCGAGCAGGACCTTGGTTGCCAACCAGCCAGCCCTTGTCCTCTCCTTTGTCGGGCAGGACCATGGCTGCCAAGCAGCCAACCTTTATCCTCTCCTTCGTCGAGCAGAAGCTCTATCGAGCAGGACCTTGGCTGCCAACCAGCCAGCCTTTGTCCTCTCCTTCGTCGAGCAGGACCTTGGCTGCCAACTAGCCAGCCTTTGTCCTCTCCTTCGTCAAGTAGGACCTTGGCTGCCAACCAGCCTTTGTCCTCTCCTTTGTCCTCTCCTTCATCGAGGAGGACCTTGGCTGCCAACTAGCCAAACTTTATCCTCTCCTTCGTCGAGCAGGACCTTGGCTGCCAACTAGCCATTGCCCTCTCCTCCTTCGGGCAGGACCTTGGCTGCTAACGAGTCAACCTTTATCCTCTCCCTCGTAGAGCATA